TTATGTCAATGATAAATTTATAAAATTTTTAAGATTGGAGTTATAAATTTTTAAGGAAAAAATAAATTATCAATAAAAATACTTAAATTATATGAGAATTTACCCCTTTTTTTTCAAAAGGAGTGATTGTCCCCGTCAACTGTCCCTCGGTTCATCCCTACTTATATTCTCATTATTACCGGATTAAGATAGTTATCATTTCAACCAACAACTCATGAAAGTTTAAAACTAAAATTTAATTTAAGATAATTATCAAAGATTTGAATCTTAATGACTCCTATAATGGGTTTCTACTTTAGTTGATTTAGATTAATTTATCAATAAATCATATATTTGTTGAATATACAAAAAATAACAAACATGGAAGTTGTAAATGTTAAACATTTACATATCAAATATATGCCTAAACATATGTTTAATTAGTAATTAATTTACATATCAAATATATGTTTAAAATTGTGTATTTTTTAGTCAACATCATCATTTTGTATGATTAATGATGTTATTAGTTTAAGACTGTTGATAACATAGCGAAGAAGCAAATTATGTCAAAATAAGGACTAAATATTCAATCACGTAGTAGTATAGGACTATTATCATAAATTAAACCCAAACAAATATTTTAGTGTCACTTACATTTATGGGCCATTCATTTTTCAAGAAAAAGTGGCTTAAAGATGCTAGAAACTGAAGAATGGCCCAAGTAAGATCTATGGTGATCCAATGAATTGCATTGATCCATGACCCGTTTTGTTTTCTTATCATTTTGTGTTTGGGTTTCTTATATGGAGGGCACCAGCATTGATTTCCACCGAGATTCTTTTGGTGTTTTGGGTTTACCATCTCAAAAGATGGAAATAGCCGCCGACGCTGCTGCCGCTGCATCTTCTTCATTGACGGAGGAAGAGCTGACGCTGATAGTAAAATGGAGCGGGAAAGAGTACACGGTTCGAGTCTGCGGCGATGATTCAGTGGCCGAGTTGAAACGAAGAATCTGCCAAGTGACGAATGTTTTACCCAAAAGACAGAAGCTTCTGTACCCTAAGATCGGAAACAAACTCGCCGATGATTCCCTTTTGCTCTCTCAGATTCCCCTCAAGTCTTCTCTCAAGATGACCATGATTGGGTACTCTCTAATTAATCAAGCTTGTTTTTTTTCACACCTGTTTATTTTCTTATTTTGTTGCGAATTTTGTGTTCTTTTGTTGAATTTGGTTTTGTTTTAGAATGCATTTATGGGTATTGCAACTGTTTTCTGAACATGTTATTGTAGAAAAGTCATTAATTTTGCTTTGATGATTGTGGCTCGGTTTATAGTAGCGATTGATTGAACTATTGTTTTTATGAATATCTAGAACTGTCGAAGATGATATAATCGTTGATCCTGTCGAGACTCCCGAGGTTGTTGATGACTTCGAAATTGGGCAAGATGAAGCTGTTGATATCAAAGATAAAGAGGTTAACAAGCAGAAACTGAAGAGACGCATTGATCAATATAAGGTTAGAGTCTCTTTTTCATGCATGAAGGGTTGCTCGTTCCTTGGTCTTTGATTCTGGGTGCTTTAAAGTCGACATTTAAGGGCCTTGCAATGAAGTATCTTGTATGGAAAATTATTTACTTTTTTCAGCTTTCATGTAACCAATATGTTGTTTTGGTGGTAGAAAATGTTTGAGCTCTGAATGTGAAAGATCAATATCTGAATTTGCTTCGGTGAATTAGTAAAGTATTGGACATTGTTAGTATAACCCTCTTATTATCAATTTTGCATTTGTTTTTACTCAAGGTTGAGTAATGTGCCTTTTTAAACATTCCTTGCATACGATTTGTTGATGAGATTTTCTGGTCATATTTTTCTAGATCGAACTAAAAACTCCATGCCGTAAAGGAAAGAAACTGCTTGTTTTGGATATAGACTATACTTTATTTGATCATCGGTCGACAGCTGAGAATCCACTTCAACTCATGCGGCCTTGTAAGTTTATCACCCTTTTATTTAAAATCATGTTGGGTGTATTCCAATAGGAGCTAATGGTGAAAATATATTATTGCAGATCTTCATGAGTTTCTTACAGCTGCATATGCGGAGTACGATATCATGATTTGGTCTGCAACCAGGTGATTTTTTATAAACAATATTTATTTTCCTTTGACCAAAGATGTTGACTTTTACCAAAGAAACATATGCTTAGCAGCAACATAATTTTAATTCTTTAGAGATTCATGTCAGAGTTGTCACATATAAGCCTAAAAGTTTTTTTTATAGAAATAGGAGACCTCATTAAAAACCCCCCTCCTTAGCTAACTTATCTGCCTCCCAATTACAGCTCCTAGGAATCAATCTAACAATAATCTCCCTAGCAGAAACTAAGGCCCCAATTTCCCCAACCAAATAACTGAAAAACGTAGGGGCAGAGAACGGCATCAAAAATCAGCCAACTGCAGATTTACAATCACTCTCTATGATAAGTCTTCCCTTAAATGCCCAGTCAGAAGAAAGGAAAAAATCAATGCCTTCTTTAATGGCTTTCAACTCAGCCAAAGGAGGAGGACCTGGCCCTACACCAATAGAGAAGTGGCTAAAGTAGAGCAATTATAATCTTTCAAAATTCCTCCAATTCCACCCTGCAGCCCATCACCTCTTACCGCCCCATCCACATTGAATTTAAAAAAATCAGGTGGAGGAAGCAGCAGTGAACCTTCTTTATCTTAAAGGATTTATTAGGAATCCTGTCTGCAAGCGAGGGATCCCCAACTAGTAAATCAGCCTGAATATGAACATGAGGGAATTTAGCTAAAAACCATTTAGCCAGCCTAAATCTGGAAATGAAGAACAGAGAAAAACTGTCGAACTTCCAATTTTCAAACACCACCGAATTCCTAGCCTTCCATAATGAACACAAAACAACTCCCGGGATAAAATTCGAAATAGAAGAATAAGCCCTTAGATAAGACCAAGAACAAAGCAGGGAAGAGGGGTCTTGTAAGCCTTAAAGTTTATCATAACTTGATCTTTAATGTAATAGGATTCTCATCATTTTTATCATCAAACCCATACCCAACATCGGTATGTTGGTTTTCTCCCTTTTTTTTCATGTTTTGAGAGTTGTGTTCCCTTACCCATTTCGGGAAATGCATCTGATATGAAAGTTGGAGTTGGACTCATTTCAAGAAAATGACGAATTTGAGCTACAGAGATGCACGATGCAAATTTTGTGTTCTTATAACTGGATTTCTAAAGCTTATATTTTGTCTCTCCAGCATGAAATGGGTTGAATTGAAGATGGGACAACTTGGAGTACTAAACAACCCGAACTACAAAATCACAGCCCTTCTAGATCATTTAGCGATGATCACTGTTCAATCAGATACTCGTGGAATCTTTGATTGCAAACCACTTGGTTTAATTTGGGCACAGTTTCCCGAGGTACATATTTAAATTGAATTTGCTCCTGTTTTGCTTGCTTCAATAGGTCATTGTGTTTGAATCAGAATCGATGAATTTGTTGCTGGTTAGACTGACATGTGGTCTTCTTACATATTTTCAGTTTTACAGTTCGAAGAACACTATAATGTTTGATGATCTACGAAGAAATTTTGTGATGAACCCACAGAACGGTTTGACGATTAAACCATTCCGGAAAGCACATGCCAACCGAGACACTGATCAGGAGCTTGTAAAACTCACCCAATACCTGTTAGCCATTGCAGATCTTGATGACTTGAGTGCTCTTGATCATAGTAATTGGCAGTTTTTCACTGACGACAATACTAAAAGACGCAGGCAGGCATGATCGATCCGACAGTTGACTAGCTAGGGATTTCATGTGCAATAATGTTCACGTCTTAAGGTATATGTCTCGTGTTTTCCCAAGTTTTTCGTTTCAAGAGCAATGTCTTTTTAATGTCCCTCGTCGATGTTCCCATTGATTTTTGCCCGGTAAATCAGTACATTTAGTTTTTTCTAACAAGTATAGTATCTCTTTTCAGGGATTGCAAGCATCGAGCAGTGCGACCGATAAAAGCTAGACTTTGCTTCTCCTTTACAAAGGCGTGACAGTGACTCAAACCTATATGAACATCATTTTATTTGGCATTAGTTTTTATCTTTTCTATATAATTATACACATATGTAATGTTTTCTTTGGTACTATGACCCAAAAATGAAACTGGCTCAGGCATGAGATATATTTCTTGAGAAGCAAGTTAGTCGTTTGTCTTTCCAATACTGGATTTGCTAATGTATCCTTACATGAACTAACTTCAAATTCTAGCCAACAATTTACACGTTCGAATCTGACATGAAATATATTTTATTTCAAATAGGCAAGTCCACATGACGGAGCAATTTAAGGATAAATGTACTTTATATTTAATTTACGTGTTTTAAATATAATATACATCAAATTTAAACTGATTTTTAATAACTATTGTTATACCAGCTGATCAATAGATCATCTCCAATAGGCCTAAAACTTCCACAGGGACCGGCATAGGAAAATACTTCCCGACTTCGGAGTAGGACTATAGCCCCCAATGCATGCATTTTTACTCGAACAAGATCATTCAATTTGTATAGTCACATTCTTTAACTAAATAAGATATATGATAGTAAACTAACATGACAGACTTCGAACTGATCTATCCACTTTCTTCTATCCGCCAATCTATTGAATCAAAAACAGAGTATATAAGACTATCTCTCCCAACAGGGAAGGGACACAGTCTGACTTTTTTATTCTCTCTCTCCCTTCTCAGAAGAAGGTAAAACCCGAATCCTTATCTTCGATCATTGTCATCACTCCACAGCACTCAATCCAAACTAAAAGGGGTAAACCGCCGCCCACTAATATATTTATTTTCTCCCCTAACGGCTCTCTGTCTAGACAGGATAAGATGAACCACAGTCAAACACCACCAACCGCCACCTCACTAGTTATAGGTCAACAATTATAAACATTAAAGAACCCAACTGATTTGATGCTAATGGAAGACTCAAAATATCACAAGGACAATACATAACTACCAGTTAAAGCACTTGCATGCATGGAGAACAAAAGGTTCAATACATTAATATTTCAAGTTTCACCATTTTTTACCTGATTATTTTCTTCAAACAGACTATATCACAATAATCACTACTGAAACAGAGGTGGAAAAACTAGCTAATAGGCAGAGGTGTTTACTCTCTTTGTTCCTTCAAACACTTAAATAAACCTTAATAAACATGGTAAACCTGCGTTTTGACGTCAAATTTTCGTAATTCAAATCTCAAATAGCTCTTAACACAAAGTTCTTGACTTCACCTGCAAACTATTCTAGACCTTCTAAGGCTGCTTAGAGGAGTTGGTTGCAGAAGCTGGAATATGACTAATGACAATAGGGGGGCGTAGTGCTCGGTGTTCAGCTTCATTTGCTTTGCGTGCCTTAAACATTTCTTCCGTCTCAACCACAACCAACCTCTTCACCTAGACATAGAACACCTCAATAAAAAAATGAAGTAAAAAAATCAATGGAAGAACAAAAATCAGACTAGGGGTTTTGATACCTGCTGAAGCATTCCCCGGACAGTGGGGGTGTTCCACCTCATGACAGTGCGATTACATTTTCTTAGGCGTAGTGCTTCCAAAGTGCGCCTATGAAGCCTTCTGGTGCCGGGAATTCCCCTCACAAGGGTTATATAGAGGTTTGGACTCCACGCAACGGGAACACTAGTTTTGAACTTATTGAAAGCACTCATTTCTTCTTCCTCACTGCACTAAACACTGCCTTAAAGAGTACATTTAACCAACATCAATATAACGGAATCAGTAATAACAAGTGCAAAGAAAACCATGACATGTTAAACTGATTCCAGAATTCATATTTCAAACTAGAACATCTACTTTGGAAAATTCTGTATATGCAATCAAAGTTTAACTATTACAAGTAATCCATAATTTTTACTCCAGCAAATGGATTAGATAATCAATATAATGATAAATTTCACAAGTATCCCCTATGGTCTTCACCTAACACCTTGAGCCCTTTTTATTCTCCCCCTCATTTAAGATTCACTACCATTCCCAACGGTAACTAAGATTTTAAAAAGATTAACGAAATACTAACGGTATTTATTCACTCACTCTTATTGTTAAATTCTACCGTCATTCATATGTAATCTCCATATTTTTGGTGTTGAGTTGAGACACACGTTATCGAAAAAAATACATCAAGTCACATGCATAATTCAATCAATGTACAAATATCAATTCAATCCACCATTTTACAATTGCATCACTTGTTCTGCATTCTTTGCAAATCAAAGCACCGTAAATGGCTTTCTCCTATTTATGCTCTATGCAGCTATCCCAACTTGGCAATGGATAATCTCATTTCTAACTCTATCCTTCTTAAGCTTATGATACACTCATATTTAGCATTTACAACCCAACTACGGCCATTCACTAACAGTCAATATATCTATATATGCTAGGATCCACTTAAACTGTATAAATCTCATTAGTTTTAACTGAAATATAACCACTGGATGAATCTATACAGATGGTTCGTTGAGATTAAAACAAAAATGTTCACTTTTTCGGTGAAAATTGAAAAAGAAATAGGATGATGCTAATGCGCAAAATTTTAATCTCAGTAATCATTTAGATTTAGTTATATTTTTGGGTAAAACTAATGAGTATTACCAGATGTAAGTGGACCTTATCCCTGTATATAGATAAAGAAGTAGTTCTAAGTGTTTTATATAGCTTTGGCATAACAGCATCGGGGCTGTTATTTCGAGGAAGCCGCGCCATCCACCATCGCTGTTAAGACCTCAACAGCGGTGCGAACAAATTTTACATCAATGGCAGCGTATCGCGACCGCAAATACCAGCGTAACTCCGAAAATAACTAAACCGACGGCTTTTGAGAAAAATCTTGTTCTCAAAGAAGTAAACATAGATAGAAAGTGTAACAAGCAGTATGATCGGAAACAGAAAATTTAAATAAAACAGAGATAGGCAGAGGGAGAAATCAATTTACGAAGAAAGCTTAGGTTTTGAAAATTACCTTGTTTAATTTCCTCCGGAAACTCTAGGGCGAGAGAGGGCTTTGGTCAGGAACTGGAAGATACAAGTTTATTTGGCGGCGGGTCATTGCTGAGAGGGAGACGGGGAACTTTACGGGAGAAAAACACCTTTTAGCGTCTAATTTTAGGCTTAATATGATTTTTAGTTACCTAATTTTAATAATTTTTTTATGTATAATGTAATTTATTCTTTTTATAATATTTATATTTATAATTTTAACATCATTTAGTTAAATAGATCATATTTGTTATAGATTCAAAAGTTAAGCGTTAAAATTTTAAGTTTAAATATTAATATAGAGAGATAAGACATTATATTTTTTAAATAAGTTAAAAATTTAAATTTTAACATTGTGGATATGTTAAATATCTAATTAAATTAAAAAAAATTAATAAAATTTAAGAATGAAAAAAATAAGATTCATTAATTGATCTAGTCATTAAGGATCTTGTGTGGATTTGAATTCCAATATTTTTCTTAATAATATAATATATCTCTACTTAATCAAAATAATAACAAAATAAATAAATGTAATCTAAAAGTCAAATAGCGAATAAAATAATAATTTTACGTGGATAAGATATGAAATTTTAAATATCACCCAGCATTTATATAATTTAGCTATAATTACTATTTAAAATAATATAAGTACGAACCTCAGTGACTTTAGTGTTAAAAAAATTGTTGATATTTATTCTTTGATGTCATGAGTTCGAGCATCGATAATACCAGAGGTACAAACAATTAATATTAAATGGTTGAGAGCGTTCTTTAAACAAATATTACTATGTACTTATCACAAATATGTATATATAAACTTTATGATTTTTTATTAAAAATATCGTGATCTTTATTTGTTTCTTTTATATATACTTACTAGGTTTGCTTTGTAAATATCATTGTGTGATTGAATGGTAATGAAAAGCGCTTTATATTTAAACATGTTTATGTTTCTTATTTTATAACATTTAATTAAATAACATGTCGATATATGTACAATAAATATACTTTTTATTTATTAATTTTTAAGTTTATAGTATAGTTAGGATAAATAGTCATCATTAAATCTTCAAGTAAAAATTTAAAAGATCAACTTTATAATGGATCTCTACAAATACCGATCCAAGTAAGTTAAACAATAGATTAAATATTGATGGTTAAAAATTAGAATTAATATAGTTAAGAAACACTTTTATTTTTCTAGTCCAAATGACAAGAGTCCAAGGCTAACCACTACACTTTTCAGTAGAGGTGCATAAAAAATTTGAATATTCGATTTTGTACAAAAAAATATCCAAAATCGAATTTGGGAAAAACCGATTTTTTTAAAACCGGATCAGATATTTTAAAACTAGATAATATAACCGATTTGAGAAAAAAATGGACGATCGGATTTTTTACCGGATTAAAAACCGGTTTGAAAAAACCGGATAAAAAACCAGTTTTTTATCCAGAAAAAAATCCGGTCTGGGGTTTAAAAAATTGGATGACAGGATTTTTTACCGGATTAAAAACTGGTTTTTTAAAAAAACCGGTTTTTTTCAAACCAAAACCGGTTACACCGGTTACATCATCCGGCCCTCCAAACCGGTTATGATCCGAACCGGTTTTTTTATAAACCGATTTTTGGCTTAGTGAAAAAACCAGATCGGTTTTTATCCGATCCGGATCAGATTTAAATCCGACTATGTGCATCTCTACTTTCCAGTTCAAATGAAAGGATCAAATGAAAGAGAATAGTCCAAAGGCTAACCACTACACCAAACTAATAAGACATTATATTATTCACAAAAATATTATATAAATTAAACTCTAATTAAAATAAATTTCATGTATTTTATGAAAATATGTTAATCATTAAATAAATTATAAAATATAATAAGAACATATTTCTAACATCAGTAAAAAATATTTATAACTTATGCTAAAAATCGAAAATATTAATGAAGATTAAGAGTAAAAATGATAATTATAAATATACAACATTAATTGGGGCTAAATTACAAATCAAAACTAAAATCAAAGGCCCAAAACTACAATAACCCTATATTTATTTATAATACAAATGTGAAACATTCACGTACATGTTTAAAGAACATGCATTCTCATCGTTCAATATATCTATTTTGTATATAAAAGGGAAAAATAATAATTGAAACGATCAAACAAAAATAATAAGAAATGATGCACACCAAATCATTATTTTTTTTTCCATTGATTTTTTTCCAAAATAATGATAATAATAATAATAATGATAAGAAGAAGAAGAAGAAGAAGAAGAAGAAGAAGAAAACATAGGATTTCATCGAAAACATTTTACAGGAAATATTTCCCCATACCATTTATGCATTTATAAATAATGCACATCCAAACACAGCCTAATCAACAGATACGACGGTGTGAAACATGGGATCCTGTTATGATTTTTACTTTTATTTTTTTAACCACCTCAGTTAAATCATATGCCTGAAATCTAGTTTTCTAGCAATGACTTACCAGGTGCACATCGTTGATAAAGAACCAAAAGAAAGGGAAATAAAGAGAAGATTGGGCAGAGGGAGGGTACTGAGAACGGGATGAACTCGGGGTTTTATCCGAGCGTGACGGGAAGCATGAGGCTCTTCCAGTATAAGTAGTGGCAAGACAGAGCTCCAGCTAAAGAAAATATCTAGATGTGGAGTGGGCCAGTTATAGGGACGTGAGTGGAATTGGCATCTTTACGATTCAGGGAGAGGCTTGTGAACTGAGACTCGAGATCTCTACTGCTAGAACCTCGGTGGCTAGATGATAGCTGCTGCAGTTGTTGATTTTGCTGCTGCTGATACAAGACTCGTAACCTACTGACCTCCCTCTCCAATACTTCCTGCTCAACTGATCATAATAATTGTATAATTTAGATTCTATTCAAGACCATTTTCATTTTAATCAATTGAAATAATTACGATCCCCCTAAAAATGAAGGGAAAGCAACTAAAAGTGGCTCGCTCATGAGTCAGGCCTAGCTTAACAAAGACATTTCTATATTTTATTATTGTACAAACAAAACTATGACCCAAGAAATCGGCAGTCTTATTAAGGTTTCTCCAAATGTTTTCTTCCTTCTTACCAAACCATTTTAGAATGCAACAAGACAGTTCACTTTGACTGGAACTCTCTAACTGTCTCAACCCGACTCTCCGGTCATTTTTTTGGGTCAAAGTTTGTATCACCTATACTGCTTTTCTTTTCAAAGTATTTTCATGGGCAACTAATGGATTATAAAATCTAACAGAATCTACCAACACCTATGATTTGAATTAATGTAGGTACAAAATATTGGTTACATATGAATAAAGGTAGATAAAGAATAGTTAATATGAAATTGTAAGCTCATTCGTTTTTGGCAAGATAGTTGGGCAGCGGATTATCAGTTCCAGGTTCGCTTTCCCAGATTGTTTTTGATTTCTAATAATAAAACTGGCAAGTTATGTGAGTTTGGTGAATTTCAACCTTCGGGCTGGATTTGGGATGTTAAAGTAAGAAGGAATTTAAATGATTGGGAGCTTGATCAATGGTGCAATTTGATGAGCATCATTTCAACTGTTTCCCTGTCGAAAGATTACAGTGATGGTTTGATTTGGAAAGGCAGTGGGGATGGTGTTTTTACAGTCAGTTCTTGTGTTAAGAGGTGTGCAACAGGTTCAGAAGAGGTTCAGTTCTGGAAAAATATTGTTTGGAGGGGTTTGGTTCCTCCAAGAGTAGAATCATTAGTGGCAAATTGTTCTTCAAAAGTTGGCTGTTAAGACCGAATTGGTAAAAAGAGGGGTTCAAGGCATTGAGGATGGTTTATGTCCTCTTTGTAAATTGGTTGAGGAGTCTTCCACGCATTTATTTTTTTACTTGTTCGGTAGTGTGGTCCTTATGGAACAAATTTATGAAATTTTGGAGGTTCAGTTCTGTTTTTCATGCAGATGCAAAAAAATTCTACTAGCTTGGGATGATTTGAAGAAAAATTCTGCTATATCGACATTCATTCCGGGGGCTGTTCTTTGAACCGTTTGGAAAGTCAGGAATAATATTGTTTTTGAAGGGGGGAAGCTTGACCAGACAGAATTATTCTTTTTAGCAAGACTTAGGCTTGCTTCTTGGTTCTTAGCTAAGCATAAGGATATTTCTATTCCTAAGGATTTTTTAATTACTGATCCTTCAATAGTGGATTCTTGCTCTTCTTACAATATCCTGAAGTCATCTATAGTCCCGTGGTGCCCTCCTCCTATGGGCTTCATCAAATTGAATGTGGATGCTACCACTAGCAGTGATTGGAAGAAAAGTGGTCTTGGAGGTGTTTTAAGGGATCATTCAGGTGCATTTTTAGGCTCTCTTCAGGAGTCTGCTGGTTCGGGACCTCCTACATTGATGGAACTTAAAGCGATTCAAAGAGGTTTATCTTTCTTTGCCTCTTTTCAAGGGATGGTTAAAGATCGACTGATTATTGAGAGTGACAGCAGGGTAGCAGTAGACTGGATTAACAATGTTGATTCATGTCCAGTTGTGTATGCTTTTATTGTTAGAGATATAGTTAATAATCTTAGAATTTTTGAGGGGGTTATTAGATGGGTTGCAAGGACAACAAACATTGATGCTGATGGTTTAGCAAAGGCTGGTATAGGCTGATTTTTATGTTGTTGTTTGCAGTTCTCATTTGGTTTTCTGGTTCCAGTAAGGGGAGGGGGTTTGCTGGTTCTTGTAAGGGGTATATGGCTTAGTTTTATCTCGATTGTAATTCTTCTTATGTTTAATGAAATCCTAAGGCACTCTTTTCCTCATTCCGCTGATAAAGGAGCTTCTTTACAAGATCCATTAATCAAAAAGAGGGTTTTTAATGAGGCCTTCAAATCTTATAAAAAAAAAATTGTAATTCATAAAAGACAACATATAATCAGAGCATTAGAGGTCATAGATTGGAGACGTACGATATTTTATAACCTGTTCCTGAGCCAAACCCTCTAAACGTTGCTTGAGAGCTTTGTTCTCCATGCTAAGAATGAGATTCTGCTGGTTGAGAAATTCAAGCTCAGCTGAAACTTCAGATCCTTCTGCCTGTTAAGTAAGAAGCACAACAAACACTTCATAGTAAGGCATACTGTTCTCTAGACAATTTTTATACTTTTCAAAAAAAGAACTTCTGTTACGACTGATGCTTGCCTGCAAAGTTTGAACATGTCTCTCCAGCTCAGCTATGTACTGAAGTTTACGGACCCTTGACCGTTGAGCAAACTGCCTGCAATGGGCAGTAACAAAGTACTGTAATCCAACATTTTCTATCAATGTATGGGCATAAGCATCCGCATGATAACCAAATATGAAATATGATAAGAAAATTTCAACTATCGCACAACAAAACTGAATCAAAGTCACTGGTTGTTAAAAAATGGAAATCAAACACCATGTACAACAAAAAACGAAATGGGAAGAAAGAAAGTGTCATGTGGTTCAATTTAAAAATGAAAGAAAGCATAAGAATTAAGAACATATATTGATATGATCCCTTACCATGTATTATATGCAGGAGAAACTTGCAAAACAGACTACAGAAAAGCACCAGCATACTCCTTATGTTTCATAACATGATAAACAATCAAAGAGGATTCCAGGAAACCAGGAGCAAATCTGTGTGCTTTGTGGCTAAAATTTCTAGCCAAAGAACCAAAGGTACAAGGCCAAAAATGCATTAAAGTAATAAAAATCAATGCAACCACAAGAAACATAAAATCAATGCAATCATGCCTAGATTTGCTCCTGCTAACATCATTGCCAAATCGCACTGCATACCAGTTGACAAGCACCTTGTCAATGTAAGCAAATAAGCGATTAATTACTAACAAGTAATAACATTAGCAAGTATTCCTCAAGCTCATAAATGTCTTTTTTAAAAGATTGATAACGGTATGCATGCTTATGAAGAAAAAAAAGATAAAAAAAGAAGGAAAAAAAATATAGCAGACAGGACCACCCAAGCACGAATCGTTTTATGTTAATCATGTTACTTCAATATAATAGTTCCCTAACCCCAACAATTGGAACAATACAAAAGGAAACTCACTGTTTGGCACGTTTAGTATTGCTGTCGCATGCAGGAGATTTATTGTGAGAATTATCGTTCTTCTCAGAAGAAGCTTTTGCACCAAGAGAAGCAGGTTCAGAAGAATCTTGTTTTTCACTTGCAGTTGATGGAGCAACCTCTACTTCTTGTGGTGCACATGATGATCCTAAACTCTGAAGAATGGTGTTTTCTCTAAGAGACGGAAGTCTGCTCAGATGAGACACAACACTCAAAGACGAATCCCATGCCCTATTCTTTTGCTTTACCAAGTTCACATCAGTATAGAAAGAGGAAAACCGAGCATCTTGAGATGCCCAAGATGGTGCAGTAATCATGCTTTCGTATCTATAGTCATCTTGTGCCACATAATCCACATTAGGAGCACTAGATGGGTCGATATATGCAAAAGAATCACTTGAAGAACGTCGATGACTTCCTTTGTGCACAGGAGTCTCTGGCTCATTAAGGAGATCATCGAACCAAGAAGGCTGTTCCTCTATCCGGAAGCTTTCAGAGGAAGTGCGCTGATGATGTTTATTTCCCTCCCTACGCTTTTGAACTGCTCTTGACCCAATTACATTGTTGGGGACATAATCAGTATATGTGGGGGAGACCGGTGGAAATGGAATTTTTGGAGGAAGTAAAGCATGCTTTCCAGAAAACATAAAATTTCTTATATTTGTTGGACCCTTGGAATTTGCCATGGCTAAGAACAACCTTTTTCCTGCAAAGAGCGTGGGATCATGAAACAACTAGTTATGAAAAGAACGAAGGCAAACATGAAGACCCCAGTGAAATTTTTCACAAAGCAAGAGACAATAATATCTCCATTCAGCAGAGGAAATCAGAAAATGATGCATCACTACTACTGTTATATAGGATATAATGATCCAAACATATAAGCAGCCATGTCTGGTAGACAGCATAAGCATAGACGGTAAACTGCACATAAAAGGACACTATGAATAGTCTTAGTAAACCCCAAGTGAAAATTGTTCACTATTGTCAGAGTACTGTAGCAAATACCAATTTACAGAAAAGGGTACTTTTACCAGGAAGCAAAGGAATAATCCCTTAATTTGCATGGCCAAACAACCTTTGAACATTTCCCAACATCAAATTAGAAAACAAAGTAAAAGAAGAAATATCCCCCCAACTGCATATTAACAAATTCACCAAGATAGCAAGTCTATACGGGAAACAGATCAAGAACAATCCTCAAAACCCTCTAAAAACTCAGTCGTAGCCTTGAATGACAGTCTTCAATTGATTCTACAAAACTCGAAAATGCAAAGCAGAATCTCACAGATGAACTTAGAACAACGGTTCCGGCACTATCTACAGCTTCTTTTTCAAATCCTACAATAACTTGTGCTCTAAATACTCGATAATAAATGAATAAAAATCACGTAAGCTAAGCAAAGCTATAGAATACTGAAGATTCATATACTGAAAGAACTTTGAAGTCTCTTTACTTTCCATGTTTCCTCGACAACGGATTCGCTTTCGAAGTTAAAATAAATAAAAACAAACACAAATAAAACATTATTTTATGCTAAATTTGTGCAATATAAAAATACAAACAAAATAATTACAACAACAAAACGAAAAGCTTACCTTTCCTGAAACTGAAGAATTCAGATTTGAAATCTAATGTTTCTGAATCGATAGCTAACTAATAATTAGGGTTTTTTTGTAGTTCTTTTCTTTTTAATGAAGGCTTCCTCCGTCCTTTTATTTATATTTTTCCCTCTCTCTGCATTGGAGTCTGTAAGTGGGGAATCAGGGACTGGAATTAACAAAATAAAATCTGGAAAAAAATTACCTTTTAACCCTTTCAAAATACAAATATTATGTACTAACCCTCGCTACTACTTTCGGTTTAAAATGTTTAGAGCTAATTACATCATATATCCTCAAACTATGCCCTCATTCTAAATTGATCCCTAAAGTTTTGAATATTCTAATTCTTTTCTTAAACATGACTCCTATTTTAAATTATTCCTATAACTTTTGAATATTCTAATTTCATCCTCATATTATGACCCTTATTCTAAATTGATCCCTAAACTTTCAAAGCTTTCAATTTTATCCTCATATTCATCCAAATATATAATTAGTTTTAACCATAGTCTAACCTAAATTTCATTTTATCTTTTCAAATATAATATAATATAGTTTGGCCTAAAGGTTTTATTAACATGGGACTTAATTAGTATATACTAGTAGTTTAGGATGAGTTTAAAATGTTCAAAAGTTTATAGACTAATTTAGAATGAGAGTCGTGATTTTGGAATAAAATTAAAATGTTCAAAAGTTTGTGGATTAATTTAGAATGAGAGTCATTGTTTGGGTCAAAATTAGAATGTTCAAAAGTTTAGGGATGAATTTAGAATGAGATTTATAGTTTGAGGATGCATAGTGAAATTAACCCATTTAACATTTGAAAGTTCCATTTTCACCTCCAAACTATGACCCTCATTTTAAATTTGTCTCAAACTTTTGAATCTTTCAATTACACCCCAAATGCAAAAAAAAAAGTGTAATAAGTTTCAGCCATAGTTTAACCTTAGAGTTTTTTCAAGCATGGAATAATATAGCTTGGCCTAGTGGTTTTATTAACATGGGTTGTCATTAACATATACATTTTTTTTGAAATTTTAAATTAGTCTAAAACTTTTGAATCTTTCAATTACACCCAAAATGCATCAAAAAATGTAATTAGTTTCAGCCATAGTTTAACCTAGAGTTTTTTCAAACACAAAATAATATAGCTTGGCCTAGTATTTTTATTAACATGAGTTGTCATTAACATGGTTTTTATTAACATATACAGATAGTTTGTGATGATATTGAAATGTTCAAAAGTTTATGTACCATTTTATAACGAGAGTTATAGTTTAATATAAAATTAAAATATTCAGAAGTTTAAGAATTAATTTAAAATAAACATTATATTCTAAGGATATGTGATATAATTAACTCATTCTATTATTGGTGTTGTTATTGTTTTTATTATTGTTGATAAATAAAAGGAGATGAAGAAAATATACAAATGAAAAAAGACAACCAAACTTCACACGTTAAGCATAAAAAGACAATCAAACTTCACACGATCTTAAATATGTGTAAAATTAAAAGAGTTTAATATTGTGTAATAAGATCTTATCTTATATATATATTACATAGAAAAAATATAATTTAAGACAACAATAATTCTCCGTTAAATATTATAATGATTATATTTAAATAATGAGCAAATTATAATAATTGCATAACAGTATAAGTGTTTTATATTATTTCTCAAAATATATTTGCCATCGTTCGATAAAAAATTAGTTTTCATATGATTATAATAAGAAGTTGATGTACCTTTTATTTAGAGTAGGTAAATGATCACTTTGAAATCAAAATTATATTTTATATATTATTTATTTTATTTATTTCGAAACTTTCATAATCACTCGTTTATAAAAAAAATATTATATTTTTAATATATATGTTTACTCTAAAAAAAATTTAAGCACAACTCGATATAATATATTATTATTTCATACCATTTAATGTGGTCCACCTACAATTCCATTACTTGGCCTTTTGTCTTGCATTATTCTATCACTAAATATTTAAAGGAAAAGAAAATACACGTCACATGTATCCTTATTCTGCAACAAGTTGCAATCCACAAGATATACTAGAATAGGAAAGGGACATCACTCCTCCAATAGATTCTTACTGCCACTACTTACTTTTCTTTGGGATCCACAAATTAAATCCCTTATTTTGTTTTTTATTTTTACACTTTATCGTTATATTTATACTACTTTTTTAATAATATGTGAGATGAATATAAGGTAATATTTTAATATAATTTTTTTTTATCGTTGACCACCTATATATATCATACAGATGTAATTACTCGAACTTAAACTCTCAAAGGAGAATAACACTAATTTTATCAACTGAGGACACTCAATGATTTCACGTCTATAATAATTAAATCAATAGATTTTATAATGTAAATTAAATTAATTGAATTGATTTCACTTAGATCGATTAAGTTTATTAACTAACTTAATATATATATATATAGTTAATATGCATACAAATTAAGAACTTTTTTAAAATATACGTGCTAAGATAAATATCGATATTTTAGAGTGAAAACCACCATCATCAACCCAAACCACCATACGAATCAATTTATCCTTTGTAAGGAGCCTTCCTAGGATAGCCATCCAAGAAATGATGTTGTGCTTTGGGTCATGGCCTGGAAACTAAACCAATCTATGCCAATCAACCCGAGCAGCTCTCAATCTTATCTCTTCCCAAACCTGCTTCACCTTCAGCATCTCCAAAGGAGAAGCAGAAAGAAACGAGAAAGCTTCCGGTCTCAACTTGAGCAATCTCTTGAACCCTCAACTAATATTGGCACCAATCCCCACCTGCCAGAAATCAACCCCTTTTAAAATGTAAGCATGGATCCCTGCCACCCAAAGAGACCCCTCCCCAACAAGCAGCTTATGAATCAGATGGATAGAGCATGCTTTGTTCCAAGATCAAAGATCCCTCAATCCCAATCCTCATTCCAACTTCAAGTAGCATATCATCCCCCAACTTATTCTAGCACCAACTGATGGGGAATCTGAACCTTCCAGAAATACCGAGCACACAATTACTCCACCCTTTTGATCACCCCCTAGGGAGTACCAATTGTCTACACCAAAAGTTAGCCATGCTAAAGACAACAGACTGAATTAGTAGAAGTATGCCAGCATAGTTGAGATGCATGCTCGCCCATTGTCTCAACCTAGGCTGAATCCTCCCAATAAGACTTTGACAATCCCGATCAGTGAGCTTACAGGTCACCAAAGGCACCCCTAAATACTTAACAGGCAGGTTACCAAATGAAAATCTCGTGGCACTGTGAATAATCTCCTTATCCATCTCAGAGATCCCAAAAGCATAAAGTTCGCATTTAGCAACATTAAACTTGTGCCCATACATACTATAAAAAGAATTCAGAACACTCTGAATCCCAATGATCGACTCCATAGAGCTTTTACAAAAAATCAACAGACCATCCGCAAAACACAAATGAGTAATGCCAAGCTTTTTTCACATTGGGTGGAAATTAAACACCATTAACCACATCAAGATCAAGAATACGAGACATAACATTTAACACAAAATGTACGGGGAGAGGGGGTCCCCTTGCCTAACCCCATGATCTCCTTTGAAGAATCCAACCAAACTCCTATTGAATGAGACATAGAATTGATAGGTAGTCAAACAAACACTAATCCAGCCAATGAATTGCATAGGTAGCCCCAAGGCCTCCAAGACACGCCACACAAATTTCCAACTCAATGAATCAAACGCTTTTTGAAGATTAACCTTGAGGGCACATTCGGGGACAAATTTTTACGAGAGTACCCACGAACTAACTCCTGAGCTAAAACAGACTGATTCCAGGATATCATACCATCAAACAACCCCAACAACCTATCAACCAGAATTCTAATGATAGTCTTGTTCACCACCGAGCAACATGAAATAAATCTGAAGTCCTTGACCATAATGGGATTAGGGACCTTAGGAACCAAGGCAAGAGCTGTAGCATTAAACCCCGGGAGCAAGGAAGAGGAAACGAAGAACTGACGCACAACAGCAATAATGTTCGCCCCCATTACCTCCCATGCAACCTTAAAAAAATAAGAAGTATAGTCATCCGACCCAAGAGCCTTATTATCCCCCTGCCCAAAGATGACATCCTTGATTTCATCATTAGTCACCTCAGGATTGATTTTTGTTAGTTCAGCTTTGTGTTCAGGATTGGATATAATTTAAGGTGAAAAATATGAGTCAATTTGAGACAATGATATAATTATCCTCTATTATTTAGGGATAATTGATATAATACACACCTTTATATATTTTAAATTAAATTATTATTTTATGAAATAAAAATGATTTTTTATATTTATGTGGATCATTTTAATTTTTTACTTCAAAATCCAAATTGAATGTTTGATTATATGATTGTATCATTCTCGAATTAGCATTAGATTGATAAAAATCAGACTCGATAAGTGATGTTTGAAACTAAAAATCAGGCCCAAAACTTAAACATTTGGGCGAGAGAATAAAAACAGGTAAAAACAACGACCACAGTGGGAGTCGAACCCACGACCTTCTGATCCGAAGTCAGACGCGCTAATCCACTGCGCTATGCGGTCTTCAATGAAAGAAAGTTGAGATGATGTTTTTCTAGATTCAATAGTAGCTCTTGAACCAAGACAACAATTACAGAACCGTTTTGCAGTCCCTATTATAATATAGGGGCATATACAATACTTCTACTCTTTAGGTTTATAGCGTAGGTCGGCTAAGCTGCACGAGCTCTATTTAAATAAAGTCCAACTCCAGTCAACACTAAATTTTATTATTTTTTAAAAATAATATTCTATTAGCATTTTATATATTTTTCATAAAGCAAAACTTTAATAATATATTAATTAAAAAATAACAGAAAATAGATTCCTATTTCAAAACTTCAATAATAAACTTTAATAACACATGAGATTCTATGATTTGCTGTATTTGTATATTTTTTGGTACATTGATGTATTTGTATATAATTCTTTTATAATTTATTGTTGATTATAATAATATTTTTCTCCTTTACTTGTGATTATTTTATTTTAATTTTTCACGTTAAATGTGTTTATTTTTTTTATTATTATTACTCCTCCTAAATTCGTTTCAAAATTTAGGATAAACATTTATCCTCGACATAACTCTATATAAATATCTTTTTTTATTTGATAAAATTTAAAAATAATTAATATATATAAAGAAATATTATAATAATCCTAATTAAATTCATATAAGAGAATTATAGTAGTAATTATCCTATTTTAGATTGAATTGTTTTTTTCTTTTTTTTCCATAAAATTTATCAGAAACTCAAATTTAAGAAAGAAAAAAACTTTGATGGAAAAAAATAAAATTAAAATCATTTGACCATCTCTACCATCTTCAAAACTCAGAAGCACCCATAAATTTAAAGAGAGAGAGAGGAGCCCTTTCCCATGTGAGTAGGTTGGATTCGGTGAAGATCAACAACGAAGACTATTGCAATTTAAACTCTATTTGGTTTTTAAACATCTTCCCACGTTCTCTCACCTTTTAACAAAAAGTCTCAGTTTTTGCCTTCAACCCCTCCATTGTTAAATCCTTTAGTTAGTACCCCATTTCCTTGTTTCCCGGATCCTTCATCTTCCTGCCAACTGGCTTCTTTATTTTCTCTTCAAAGCTTTCATTTTTATAAACAGTGGTGTTGGAATAAAGTGAGAAGGTTTTAGTTTTAGTTTTCGATGTGAGAAGAAAGAAAAAACATGGAGAAGATGATGGGAGGAAGGTCTTTAGCAGAGACTCCAACTTATACTGTTGCTTCTGTGACTACGGTGTTGGTTTTTGTTTGCTTTTTGGTTGAACGATTCATTTATAGATTTGGAAAGGTGAGTATTGAACTATCTCTAGTTTTAGTTCTGAGACAGTATGTTTGGTTACTGAGAAAATGCCGAAAAGCATGAAGGAAAATCTGGTTATGTGGCTGCTGAACCACTACATTGCTTTTACCTTCATCTGACTTTGATTTTAATCTGTGTAGTGGTTAAAGAAAACGAGGCGGAAAGCTTTGTTTGCTTCTTTGGAGAAGATCAAGGAAGGTGAGTGAATCATTCATTCATCTATTATAACCAATTTCAATTAAATTTAAATCAAAATTCAAACAAATATATTCGATTCGATAAATTTGATTCACCTAAAAAAACTTAAAATAGAATTTGATAGAATGATGCTCGTAATCTCATATTAACGTGAATATTTTTCACTTAACCCAGAAATGTCGTGGTGGGATGCTTTATGATTTTGTTTTGCTGGGATCTACGATGCCTCACTGTAGAAGTGGTTAATGGTTTTGGATTCTCCATCTATGCAGATCTATAGCTGGAGAAAATGGGAAAACCAAGCCAACTCCATAGCTGATGGAATTGGAAGCTTGCAGGGGACGTGATGAAATGATAACAACATCATAATACTAGTTTTTCTCTTTCCGATTATGATTTCCCTTGTGTGTAGCGAAGAGAAACAAAGTGATGAGACGACAGACCACCTTCGTTTTCCATCACACATCTCATCCATGGAGCAGGAGTCCAATTCTCAAATGGATGGTGTGATCTTCGTTCTCAACTGTTGGTAAAATATACTGATGTAAAAGAAGCATTAGCACTGAGAAGAAAGATATATATTGAAAATATAATAAAGAATCGATTAACCGTATCGTGGTATTAATCACTGTCTTAGAAATAAATTCGTCACGATGTGTGTAATCACTTCAGTAGGCGGACCGACCATCTCCCGAGGTTAACATGGTCGCTCCGAATTCTGTACACCCGAAACCGAGACGAGACGGCGGCGGCGGTGCGCAGAGTCCCCTTTTCTCTTTCACTTAACAAGAAAGTAAGAAATCCAAACCATAAATACTTATTCCCAATAGTATTTCTAATACTATGTGGATTGAGCATTACCAACATCAACTACACAAATTCTGCAACTTTCTTCGTTATTTTCTGTCAGTTAGTTGTTGATTTTGCTGTTTGTGTGTACATCTTTGCTTTTTACGACAATTCAGGAGCTCTATAGAGAAATCAGATTACCTGGCACTTCGTCTAGGGTTCATCACGGTGAGTTTATCTCTTTCTCCTTGATTATCTATGTTGCTTACTTTTCCGGTTTGCGATTCCATGTTCTTTTCGGTTTTCCAGAAGCATAAGCTGCCACTTTCGTATAATTTCCATAGCTATATGGTTCGAAGCATGGAAGATGAGTGTCGGGGCATTCTTGGTATTAGGTAAGTGCACATGCTAAACAGAAGTTCAAGAAAAATTATTGCTGTTTTGGATACTGTAACGGAATTATAATTCAGTTTTGCAGCTGGCCACTTTGGGCATATGCTGTAGCTTGCATCTTTGTGAACATTCATGGTAACTGCTTCACCTCTGCAACATTTTCTTTGTACATCTGCTTCGGTTTTACTATTCGTGAGTCCGGTTGAACAGAGGCACGCTGATACGTATTTACTTGTGTGGTTCAGGATTGAATATTTACTTCTGGTTGTCTTTCATCCCTGCCATTGTAAGTACATTGACTCGAACTAGAAATTCGTTTTCGAGAAAGAAAGAAGTGACTTGTTTCGCATGTCGAAGCTTGTGATGTTGGCTGGGACGAAGCTTCAGCATGTTGTTTCCTCATTAGCACTGGAGATTAAGGAACAGATCACTGGTCAGCCTACCGGAGCGCAAGTAAAGCCACGCAACGATTTGTTCTGGTTCAGGAAACCTGAGATATTACTCAGGTTGATACAGTTTATCATTTTTCAGGTAAGACCCTATGCTTTACGTTTTGCGTACTATTCGGTTTAGTATCGATATCTGATTTATTCCTCGTTCTGTTCGTGCAGAATGCCTTAGTGATGGCGACATTTCTCTGGTCATTGGTAAGCTTCAAGTTCTTGGGCATTGCAATGCGTTTGCGGGTCTTGTACTAATTTTTGTACTCTCGATTTGTTTAGTGGGGATTCGAGCATAGATCGTGCTTCATGAAAAACCATCTTATGATCGTCTTCCGATTGGTTTCCGGGTACGTTTTCTTTTGACACTGAGCTTCTATACACAACTTCAATGATCACTTGTTGTCTATAATGTGTATTATGGGGTAAATGAAGGGTTCTTCAGTTCTGGTGTAGCTCTATCACAGTGCCTTTGTATGTAATTGTCACACAGGTTTGCTTGTCCCCGAACTCGACGAGTATTCACGTAGTTCATGCATCTCTTTATAACGTAAACATTCGATATTTTTCGCTTCATCGACGTCGGCTTTCGCCGATGTTTTCAGACGGGATCGCGATGCAAGAAAGCCTTAGTTGCCGAGAGTGTGAGGGAATCACTTCACAGTTGGCGTAAAAGAGTGAAAGCGAAGTCGAAACGTGAATCCACGCACTCGCATACTGCGAGATCCGTTTGCTCACTCGAATCGATTGTCGATGACGAGAGGGATGCTGTCATGGTTGGCACTTTGTCGAGAAGTTCATCCATGAAGTCATTGAATCAAATAACTATAACATCCTCAGAACAGGCGGCGGCCATACTCGGGACTTCCAGCACTGCCCCAGGCAATGTATCATCGAGGGTGGAGGAGTACTTATCGGAGATCGGAGTCGATAAACATAAGTGCATCACAGCCATCAACCATCGATGAAGAAGAATATGAAGAAGAAACAAAAGTTGAGACTATACGAGTTGTTTCAAAGAGCATGAAACTAACAACAATGTTTATCTTTACATGATCTTAGTTAACATAATTGTAACCTTAAAGTTTAGCCTTCAGATGAAAGTCATAAACTTTACCAGAAAAAAATATTTTAAACGTCGGAGATAAAATAAAATTCAATGATTAATTTCATTTTGCATTAACAAAATCAATTATTTATTCTGAAATTAATAATTATAATTATATTTTTCTTCATTTTAAAAATACAAAAATCAAAATATATTCTTATTATTATTAATCTTATTATAACATGTAGACAAATTTATTCCTTTTTCATGAACCAAATTACATTATTTGCATTACAACATTTCCATTAGAACGACCATATACAACTAAAATAAATCCATCTGACCATATAATATGTTCATCAGTAGCATTAAATGTAGCCTCTCTTTTTTCACACATTATTCACATTACACAAACTACCATTATGTTCACAAATCACATGTTACCAATCAAGGTCGCATACCATTGCCCGTGGACGCGGGTGGACACCGTGGCTGCAGCCACCAACACCTCGGCTTCTTTCACGACCCTTTTGGTTAAAGAACCAGCTCCGATTCTATGGAGGGCCATTCCTGCTAACTGTCTACCATGGGTACCACTCCCTCCGAGCAGAATCCCTCTAAAAGCTAAATAAACAGCACCGGACACCTTTTCGAACACTGGATCCCCGGCTTGCAAGCTCTTTGCTAGCATCCTGGCCATCATAGCCTTCCTCGTGTCGTCTGTTACTTTGTCACTACTGATTGTTTCAACAATCCCTTCGATTCCCGCATCTTCGACACGGTCTAAGAATTCCGAAAGCCGTTTGGCACAATTTGATGTTATTCTTTCCATGTCATCAGAGCTAGCCACTACTTGGTCGCTCGAGAGGATATGCCTAAAAATAAGAATGCTGCAGATGAAAAACTAAAACATTAGATCCTTTTCACTCGATGAATTTTGCAACATAATTACATAAAATATCTAATATGAAATACCTTGTGGATATTACAATGATCTTTTGAATCTCAGCCTGTACGCCCCGCAATCTAGAGAAGTTAAGTGTGAAGGTTTCTGGCAAAGCATCCGGTGTTAGACCGGAAACTCCGCTCGCTAACTTTAGCAAACCGAGCCTAACCAGTACATCAACTGTCTCTCCCTTGCATTCTGGTTGTTCATGGCCTGACCAAAGAACATACGAATTATTAAAAGTGATTGGATGTCTCTAAGAGACATGGAAGCTTATTTTTAGGTAGCTCCCCTGATGCTAATACGCTAAGCTTCCCTATGTCTCTAACTCACAGGAAGTATATTAACTTCAATTTTTGGGGAGTTATAACAAATTCTCTTCAAACAATATTAGCAGTTTCACATGCAAACCTGTAACATTAGAAGCACTAGGGTTGACAAATGTAGTTCGGCTTGAATTTCCCGAATTATAGTTTCCACCGGTTTTAAGCGTGATGGAAGTAAAAAGCTCCTGAGATGAAGTATCTTTTGCCTTCAAAGTTGACAGAGAATTTTGGTGTTCTCCCCACTCCAGATCTTTGCAGTTCCAGACAGATGAAAGCCACTGCACGGTCAGTGGTAAAGATGAGTTCGCATCAGAAGGTGGCCCGTAACGGTTAGTGAAACCTTCTGTAAGGTAATCCAAAGCAGCAGGTCCCTTTAACAATGGCTCCATCAATCTTATACGAGCTTTGCTCATATCTCTCTTAAGAACCTGTCCGGAAAAAAGCATATTACGATACTAGAAAAGAGCTTCCTCAAATTTCAATGCCTTTGAAACAGGTGATACAATGAAGAATCCATTCAATCAAGAGGAATATGAAATGGAGACGTAAAACCACCTGAATCTGCTCTAGGACAAAACGTAGACCCTTAATCATTGCAAGGGAAGGAGAGTTGTCAGAGGTCTCTCTGGCTTCACATATCTCGGCTAACTCTTTCAATAACCTCTGGTTAGCAGCCTTGATTTCATCATCATTGGCTGGAGAGGAGAGCTTCTGTAAAGTGATCAATGCAAATTCCAGAATCCTTCCAAGATAAGAAATGTCCAGTTTGCCTGACTTCAGCACCTTAAAAAGGGGAATTTTCTTTTAGGAAAAAAAAATATTTAAAAGATGAGAACACTAATATGGCAATTATAAAGGTATTCTAGTACCTGAGAGAGAATTTCTAAATCGATGGCATCGGTTATTTCTTCTCTCCAACAGCGAGGAGCCAGCTCACAAATTTCATCCCTCACTTCTCTCACAAGCTCAATAACTCGGTAAAAATCAGGCTCATCCTGTCGCATGGATTCCATGATCCCGTCCCAGAAAGCCTTCTCCATTATTTCTCTCATCTTTGCCTGCAATATATAATCATATAAGTGTTGATTCCCATCCTTAGTGTCTGCTTGTTCTACCAAAGACTAATTTATTATAAATGCACATACCTTTAAGCTATTTTTATCTTCGTCAATGGCACTGAAGTTATCAACAAACCCACATTGCCCATGAAGGAATTCATTAACAATCAATTCATTCTCATTGACTGTATTCTTTTCCGTAGAAGAACACTTAGAAGGGGATGTGCCATCCTCCTTAAACAGAGAGCGGACAACACGGTTTTGTGTCTGAGTCCGAGCACTTCTATTATCTGTTTGAGCAGTCGGAGAACTAGGGGAACCATGGGTGTTTGGAGATATAAAGGACGTAAGTGGAGACCCCATTGGGCTCCCACTTTCCTTTGCTTGGAAAAATTTAGTCCTTGTTTCAGATAGTGCACTTTCCATTCTTTCAATCCCATCACATCCACTCAAATGTTGCACTTTCTCCCTTAAAAGTTTTTGATCTTCCATAACCTGATTTATAAGAATATTCAATTAGTATCTATGCAACATAGAGTAGAGCATTTATATATTAGAACTTCAAAAGAAGCATGATTATCTCCAACTTTAATTGTATGTTTGAAATTCAGTAAACTTCTTAATCAATAAGCTGCAAGCATTACCTGTCTTTGAATAGCCTTCAGATCATGTGTAAGAGCAGTATTATCTCCTTCTGGAGTCAATTTGCATTTTTGAATCATTGAGAGTTCAAGTTGGCATGCTGCTCTTACCAAGTCCTCCTCCAACAACTGAGCATCCTTAACCTTCCACACCACAAAGCAATTCAGGTAGGAGCACCATGCTTTGTCAAATGCTGTGAGCTGTGACTTAAAGGTCAAACGTCTGGGCAAAGCACATTGAGATTCTTTATCAGAATTCTGTATAGGACCCTCTAAAATAATCTTTATCAACAACTCAAACTCTTGAACAAATGCTTCTGCAGACTTGGCCAAAGCAACCTCTCTCTCCCCCTGACCACTTAAAACCGCATCGGGATGGCCCAATATCATGTATGCACAAAGAACGACTCTGACGGCATATCTTGATGATTTAGCAAGACTTTTGGCAGACTCCCTCACTGAGATAACTCTCTTACCCTCTCTGCTTCTCATTGAAGTCCTGGCAGTGGTCTTTCTCTTTGGAGTAGCAACTCTTTTGAGAAGATGATCAATGTTATCCAAACTGGATAGCTGATCGGCAGCACCACCAACCCTAGAGGCCTTAACGCGGCTCTCAATACGATCAAGCAAGACTTTCACAGTTTGAAGGGTAGCCAATGATTCAATTAGAAGGGCAAATTGCTCAAATGGCATCGACTTCACCGATGTCTTATTGATTTTCAAGGAATCATAGGCTTTTGCCAAGTCTAAAGTAGTTTTCTTCTGCCTTAGGAACCACCTCCAGCACCTGCATAGTACAAAAAGTATTACACACTCATTTGTAGTGTTAGCCTTTCAGGTATTCACCAGAATGTGTTGCAAAAAGTGATTTCTTATGATTTCCTATAATAATGTTCTATGTCCTTTAAAGACCCTTTGAAGATTACAACAGTAGATAATAAACAATACTGTCAGTTGTCTTATACCTTGCTAGTTTTCTAGAAAGCATATCAGCTTGCATCCTGGTACAATTCACTTGAAGAGATTTTTGTGTCCTTCCTTTCTGCCTCAAGTACTCTGCCCTTTGTCTCCTTGCCTTTTTGTCAATAAATTCATAAGAAAAACATAATTCATGCAAAAAGTATATAAAGAAAGAAAAACACATTTGCACTTGAAGATGGAGGATAATACTATAGAAATTTTATAAAACATGCATACCCTTTGCAGTCTGTCTTCCAACTGATCCCTCATTCTCCTCCTCTCAACCTCACGTTGATGTGAGATGAACTTAGCCACTCGTCGAGCTTGCAGAAACCTGGCACGGGCTTTCTTCTTCTCTGCTTCCAGCAGGGACAGTCTCTTTTTCTCAGCAGCCACACGCTTTTGATGAATAGCTGCACGCACACGCTCCTTATATTTGCTTTCTCTAACCATCCTCCGTGACAATGATTGTGATGATCTCTCATTTAGAGTTGCCCTTCGCTGACTGCAAGCCTTCAGAATAAGCTTTCTATTTTCCTCTGCCTGCTGGAACCGTGATTCAACCTTTGTGCCAAGCTTCTCACGTTCCTTCTCAACACGCTTTTCTACACCAGTTTTTGCTGCTTGCCGCAACTCATCCAACTTGGCTAGGCGCATCTGAGCCTTTGCCAGCATGTCCAACCTGTTGATGGACCAGCCGTGAAAATTCAAATTACAAAACTTCAACAAAAAAGCAGAATTGGAATTTGTTCTCTTAAAAAGATCACACTATGAGTTCCAACTAAAATAACATAACAGCAGCACAAAGAAATCACACGGAGAACTTTAGAAAACAACAAAAAAATGGACACAGCTGGATTCAAATAATAGTAGAAAGACGATTGTCAGCATGCAACAACTGATTATCATCAGAGGTAGCACGACACTAGACTTTGAATTCACCTTTTCTGCTCAGCAGCTTGGAGCCTTGCTTCAAGGCGTTGACCAAGGTCTTCCTCATTTGATGAGGATCGAGAAGGGCTTCTTGGCTTTGATCTTGCCTTGCTTGACACACTTTCAATAAATTGCTACAGTCAAACAACCACCACAAAAAAAGTGAAGAGAATTGCTGTATATTGGACAGATAAAAGAAATGTGGAATTAAATAACATAAACCGAATTTGGCATGCGCGTAAAGGGGAATTGATGATACAGATGATTCAAAAACGATCATGGTAAAATAAACTTCCCAAGAAGATCTTGCACGTGAAACAAAGTACCAAAAATTGCAAAAATAATTTAGGCAGCAACACCCACCCCACCCTTTTACCTAACGCAGAGAAAAAGCTTCAAAACAAAGATTTTACTATAGGGAGAAAAATACTTCAAAATCTTTAAATTTTGATTTCATTTAAATACGATCCATGACATGACATAGGAAATAGAATCATAGACTATTTGTTTTCCAGATACTAAAACAAACAAGAAGTTAAATAAATGGTGAACAAAATGCAGAAAAAATAAAAAAATTCAGTTAATTTGCTCTCTTTATTTAAAATAAAAAATGACTTAACCTAAACCACTTAGTTAGGTGGAGTTGTGGACTTATTTTTCTTCTCCATGAGTAATTAAGTTTTGGAACTCAAAATTAAAATCCAATATAAGAAAATTTATCGGTCCTTCTTAAACTCTGTTATAACAGTGTCTTAAATTGTAAGAAAATTCTTTAGAATTTAAAAAACGCTTCAATTCTTTCCGTAAATTTTGTTTCAATAAACACTTTCTTTAAGAAATGATTTAGAAACGTAACTTCATTTTAATTGTGTTGGGGGGGGGGGGGAACAAACTGAAACTCTAGAGTTTTACCTGTCTACGAAGATCGGCGTGTCGAAGCTTGGCTTCGATTTCTTCCACAGTAGGAGTCTTGCACTCCGAAAGAAGCCTCTTCCGAATCCTCCTCGGCACGCGCGAAAACGAAGGCGTTTCACTCGCCGGAAATTCCATCGCCACCGCTCTCCCACTCTTCGACGTCTCCATCATCATCACTTACTCATACACCAAATTTTCACAATAATCAAACAACAGAGAGATAACGTACCCGTACAAATCCACAATCACGACGATCCGAAAAAGTCCGAACTGATCGGAAAACAGAATTAAATCAAATGAATTTTTTTTTGAATAATTAAGAAAGAATTAGAGAGTTGGAGAAGAAATGAGAGAGAATTGGTATGTTCTTCGCTTCTTCTTCTTGTTGAAGTTCTTGTTGAAGTTCTTGTTTTGAAAGCTTTAAAAAGAAACAGAGTTGGGTTATACTTAATCCGTATTAGCCTGGTGTTTGCCACTTCATAAAATGGACCCACCGCCACTTTTATTTAAAATTACGTTAATACTTTTAACAAATTAAAGGGATAAAACGGCATTTAGTCCTTAAGATTAGTAATTTTCCCCAATTTGATCCCCGATTTATGTTTGGTCCACATTAAACTATAATGAAAATAATAATAATAAGAAGAATATTGATAATAGTAAATTAACCTCTTCAAGAACAATAATATTTAAGTCTTTCAAACAAGGGAAAGAATAAAGGTAGGTTTTCAGCATTGGGGGGTGCATTTAAATAAAGGGGAGAAAAAGGTGGCTATCTAGTTACAAGGTTGACTGCCAAACATATTTATTGTTTAGCAATAATACTCCTTTTAGGATAAGAAAAAAAAACTTAAAATTAGTGGTTGTTTATTTATTTTAGAATGATTAAACGTTAAATTATTTAAATGTTAAATGATTCAGCCTCTGAATCATTCAGAAGTTCTGTATGAATTAGATCTCAATGTGACATGTTGTTTAATAATGGTTCTGAATCATTCAACAATATTTTGCTGAATCAGTCAGCACTGAATCATTAAGAGGTACGAAATAAACGTGCTGAATGTTGAACGATTCAGCATTCAACGCTGAATGATTCCATTAAGAGACAAACAAACATCCCCTTACTCACGAACTAAATTATTTTAGTAGTAATTAAAGATTATTAGTATTTAATCTTTTATTTTTTATGTCAATTTACTTTTTGTCTTACAATATTTGTTTTGATCAATCTGGAATATATATAAAGTAGTATTTGTTTAAAGATAATTTTAAATTATTTGATATTGAATGTTCACGCTCCATCAATTTTAATGTTCAAATCTGAAATCTCAAAAAATAACCTTAAAATTTTTATCACTAAAATTACTTAGTACTTGACTTTATTTCACAATATTTAAGTCTTTTCCACTTCTTTAAGCAATCATTCCCCTACCTTTTTCGCATGTGCTTTGCTACTAATTAGGGCATGAATCCTCTCTTATTTTGCTTATTATTGATGATAAAATGGTTGGTTATCCTTGTACTTGTACTTATATGTAATGAGGTAAGGGGAGATAGGTTGTCCTCAATACTAGGTTGAGAGTAGTTTCCATAGGAGACCTTTAAATTATTAAATATCCTCCATAAGACTCGATTCCACGACCTCAAAGTTAAATTATTGATGATAAAATGATATCGCAAATCAAAACGCTAAAGAATGAATCGCACGTCTTCGTTGTTATTTGATGATTAAACTATAATTTTTGGATATTGATTAAATATACCCAGAAATATATTTTTTATAATGGAATCTTAATAAATCTAAAATTTAAAATTAATTTGTTTATTTGATTCGAGACCTGTTAATGTTTTATAACTATGTTGATATTTGATATTATTTAAAATTAAATTGGATTAAATATATAATTGAATGCAAAACTTTCGTTGTTAAGATAATACGAAGAAAACGATTTTAGAATTAAAAGTCAATAACGTGATTTTCGTTATTGAAGGGTTACAGTTAGGTTGAGAATTTAATACGTAACGGATTATGTAAAAAATAAACCAATTTCAAGCATTAATTCCGATCACTTAAAATCGTAATCAGAAGATAACTTATATCCATAACTATAAAAATTCATATTTTTATTATAGATTATTAAAAAATAAATTTATATTTTTATAGGGACCGCAAGCGAATTAAACATTTTAAATTGACTAAAGAAAGACGGAATCTTACGATGGGCCCAATGGCCTCCATCGCGATTAAGAGCTGAAAATGTGGGGACAGAAAAGGACACAAAAATTAAATAAGAGGGATAAATCTGTCATTCACTGATACGTCATTAAAACGTGGGTAAACTATTTAGTACATAAATTATTATTTTTATTTCTTTTTGGCACCTAAAATTTGTTATTTTCAAAACTTTGTCTAACATTTAGTTTATGTTTCAATTTAGTACCCACCGTTAAAAAATTAATAGAACTATTGATGTGATATTTTTTATTTTTTCAATTGTGACTTGGGATTACCTTATTATGATACATAAACATCACCATTAAATTTTTAACGATGAGATACTAAAATGAAACCTAAACTAAACATTAGTTATGACTTAAAAAAATAAAGTTTAGATATCAAAACGAAATAAATATAATAATTTAAGTATTAAACTTGTAGTTTATCCTTTTAATATATTTGAATTACGGCCTAGCCACCAAGGCTGCTGCGATGCTTCACGATGACGCGACGCGTCTTTTCGGCTAAAGTTGCCACGCCAACCTAACACCGTCTCTTCTCAGTAACTTCATATTTTTTCAAACCACACTCTCGCGAGTACGTTAATCGGAATCCACTCGCTATGGCTTTCACTAACCTGTCCATCATCAAAACTTATTCCAAGCGGCCCAAAACGTCGAAGGCAAGTCCCGGAAAGGCGTGTGACGTGTCGCCCAGTTCTCCGCCGAACTAATGGCAGGGAGCAGCCGAAGAGTGGGACCCACATCGATTAGTGTTTTTTCCCTCCGAAGAAGCATATCCAGAGAGAGAGAGAGAGAGAGAGAGACGTATAAGTCCGGGCTGCTTAGCTGGTTGGCCGTCGTGAGAATCACGTGTCAAATAGCTAAAGCAGCCGCATATTATGAAAAGAAAAAAGGACTGCCACAATTGCTTCATGCATGTCTGAGTTACGCACGTGTTAAAGAATTAAAAAATATATTTAAATTATTTACGATTGAATTTGATCTCACAAATTAAATCAGGGTAAATTATAAGTTTAGTGACTCAACTATTATATTTGTTCCGTTTCGGTTGTTTTGGTCATTCAATAATTATTTTTTAAATTATACATATCGTTACATTTTGATTTATTTTCATAATCAATCGTTAAAAATTTGACAAATCTAATGACATGATATTTTAAGAAAAATGTCAACAATTGCCAATGATCAACTATTTTTCGCAACAAAATCAATACTAAAATGTTTGAATTTCACTGATCGTTCATCTTATAAGATTATTTTTCTAGTAGATCACTAAAAAATAACGAAATTAAATAAAAAATATCATTTTTAAGATGTTTGGAGATTTTTTAGTTTTATATGATTTTTAATGTTTGTTTAAAAATTAAACAGTGAGAAACATTATTTTTAGAAGACGAAAAACATAACTCAAAACTAGTCTCATCGAATGATAATTAAAAGAGATTTGAGTATTAATATGTTAAACTTTTAAATGATTTTTTGTCAATTTTGAATGAATTTCGTAGAAGACTAATTCTTGAAGAATAAAGATAAGTGAAATGCGTACGTTATGGTACTTATATTGTCGTGAAATATGACTAGTGACAAACAATGATTGATCGTCGGTGGCGGTAAGAAAAGTAAAATATTTAAAAGTTCAATGACTAAAACAACGTGCCACTAAAGTTTAGTGTCTAAAACGACGTCGTTTTGAAAATTAATTGTCATCACCAAAACGATGTCATTTTTGTGCGACCGACCATATCAACAACCATTATTCATGTTATTATTATGTTATTAACTTAACGGTGGAATAACATAATTAATATTTAACGTTATAATTGTCAAAATTAAAAATTTAATTATATAAATGAGTTAACGAGAAATAATTAAAGTTCGGTAATATCTAAAATAGTTTACCCTAATTTTATATACCATCAATAAAAGGTAAAATTTTAAAAGTATTATCACAAGCTAAATTTTTTGGAACTTCCCAGACACTTAACAGAGACAAAACATCTTGAAGGTCGTTGAACTTATTCATCAAAACTGCTGCATCACCTTCTGTAATTGTATCGTCCCAACTCTTTTCCATTGCTAATCATTTTAAATTTTGCTTTCGGGGGAGAAAAAGCTTGAAGTAGGAGAAGCAAACGCTAGAAAATGGGAATCATGTGCCAGAATATCCATTGCCTTTGCATCTAAAGTGATGGTTGCTTCAATGCCCTTACCATTCTCGTTCGCTTTTAAGACGAAGTTATTGACAAATGGATAGTAGCGAGTCTCGCTCCACCCCAGGCGTAAAGGCATTGGCTGTCCCCATCCGAAATCGACGCCGTTTCCTCCGAGAGTGTTCATCCAACTGCTGCAATCGAAGCAATCCACAAACCATTTCTTCTTCCCTTAACCTTTAATCCTTGCTTTCAAGAGGTAAGAATTCATGATTTGACCTTTCATACCCTGCCTCAGTATGAAATCATACGTTTTGGGAAGCGGGTCAGAGCTAGAATGCACTAGGGTCTCGTCCATACCAAGAACAATGGTTCTGTTCGTCTCTAAGATTGGTAGTGAAAGTAAGCAATAGTTGAATATAAGAGTACGTGGAACGATTGAATTGCTCCCAATTCCATGATCTCTTTTGGGCTTTTGGACCCATGAAAGCAACGTTTAATTGTCAGATGAGTTGCTATACACTTCGAGAAAAGCCTCACAAGGTGACGATTGTATGTCTTTAGGGACTTACTGAGTCTGATGCAACACATGGGAGGTACAATTTGTAGGTGTTGTCGTTAAGGTGCGAGTGAGGGTTATAATTTGAGATATATGATTTTAGGTCTATGATTTAAGGGGCAGTCCCAGCATTCCGTGGGCATCCATTCATGAAAAAACAACCCAAAATCAATCCAATATCCAGCCAAAACTATGACAAACAAATCGGAAAAGTGACATGAGGCTTACCCCCAACGACAGACGGACGGAGAAGCGACCCACCAATTGGGTTTTGGTCGCAAGGCTTCAGGGAGCCTTGTGGTGACGGCGGTGTGGTGTTCGGGCAACAGAGGTGGCCAAAAATTACAAAAAACAGTTGCAAACCTTGATTTTTTTTCCAACTATCTTAGAAATTTTCTCCACAACAAACGACGA